CGGGAAGCCTGCTTCTCTCTCTCCCACTCCCCCTGCTTGTGTTCCCTCTCTCGCTGTGTCTCTCTCTGTCAAATAAATAAATAAAATCTTTAAAAAAACCCAAAACATCATAGTTCTAAATACAATTTGAGAAGGAGAAGATAAGCAGGGGGGAGGAAAGCAAAAAAACAATCATAAGTCACAATGAATGAACAACTTCTTAAATATCATTTAAAAATATTTATGGACCACAGAGACTCAGCAAACTAATAATAGAATTAACACATAGAAATCCACAACTCAATACATAATGAAATGACTGAAGAACACATGCAAACACAGACAAAGAAATACTCCTGAGGGAACAAGGTGGATCATGAGAGACTCAAGTCAGTGTGAAAATTATGGAATGGGTGATATAGCTTCCACCTGGCATTGAGCCCCACATAGGGCTCTCTGCTCTGCGGGGAGTTGCTTGTCCCTCTGCCCCCGCTCCCCCTGCTCATGTTCTCTCTCTCTACAGAGAGAGAGAGCCCAGAGCTTCTTGTTCCTTTGTCTTATCAGTGTTATCCCCCTCCAGTTGGAACCAGTGTCCCCCATGGAAACAATAACTTAAAAATATGTCCTGGGATGCCTGTGTGGCTCAGTTGGTTAAGCGTCTGCCTTTGGCTCAGGTCGTGATCCCAAGGTTCTGGGATCGAGCCCTGCATCGGGCTTTCTTCTCAGAGGGGAGCCTGCTTGTCCTTCTGTCCCCACTCCCCCGCTCATGCTCTCTCTCTCTAATAAATAAATAAAATCTTTAAAAAAAGGAGAAAAGTGGGACCGCATTAAACTAAAGAGCTTGTGCGCAGCAAAGGAAAGAACAAAATGTTTTGAAGGACAATGTACAGAACAGAAGAAATATTGTAAACTATATATCTGATAGGGGACCAATATCTAAAATATATAAATAGCTCAACCAATGCAATAAAAACAAAGAAAATAATCCAATTTCAAAAATGGGCACAGGGCTGAGTAACATTTTTCTGAAGACATAAAAATGGCCAATAAGTATAAGAAAGGTATTCAAAATCACTAATCATCTGGGAAATGCAAATCAAAGCCACAATAAAATGTCACCTCACACCTGTTAGAATTGTTTTTTCCAAAAACATAAGCGAATATTGGTGAGGATCTGAAGGAAAGGAAATCCTTTGGAGGAAATGTAAATTGGTGCTGCCACAATGGAAAATAGTACAGCTCTTTTTCAAGCAATTACAAATAAAAATACCATTATATTCAGTAATGTCACTCCTACATATATATTTAAATACTGAAATCATTATCTCAAAGGTATACTGCACACCCATGCTCATTGCAACATTATTCACAATGGCCTAATTATTGAAGGAACCTAAGTATCTGCCAACAGATAAGAAGGTGTTTTATACACACACACACACACACACACACACACGCACAATGAAAATATTATTCAGTCATGAAAAAGGAGATCTTGTCATTTGTGACAAATGGATGGACCTTGAAGGCATTATGTAAGTGACAAAAATTAGACAGGTATAGACCAATACTGTATGGTCTCACTTACATGTAGAATCTGAAACACTGAACTTGTAAAAACAAAAAGTATAAGGCTATTTACCAAGTTCTGGGAGGAATGGGAATTGGGGAGATGTTTAAGAATACAAAGTTACAACTAGTACATAATAGGTTCTGGGAGTTTAATGTACAATATAGGATTATAATCAGCATTACTGTATTATAAACTTCAAAGTTGCTAAGACTAAATCTTAGCTGTTCTCAATACGCACAAAAGTGATAAATAAGTAACATGAGAAAGATATTATCTAAGATTATCATAGTAATCAATCAGTAATACATAAATGTATCAAATGAACACATGGCATGCCTTAAATTTACACACTGTTATGTCAATTACATCTCAGTAAAAACAAACAAAAGATTTTTGTTATACCCACTTACTACAAGGAAATAGCTTAAGAATACAGCTAAGACACCAAAGAGGAATTAAAATGGAATACTAAAATAATATGTTTAATACAAAAGATGTCAGGTAAGGTGGAAGAAGAAAACAAGACATAAACATAGAATGAATAGCAAAATGGGAGACTAAATCCAACTATCCCAATAATGACATTCATGTTAATTAAGTAAATATCCCAATCAAAAGATAGAAATTGTCATACTGAATTAAAAAAAAATAAGATCCATCATTATGCTTTCCATAATACACACATTTTAGATTCAAAGGCACAAAGAGGTGAAAGTAAAAGGATAACAAAAGATCTACCCTACAAACAGTAACCCCATAAGTAAGCACAAATGGCTATTCTAATATGAGACAAAGTAGCTGTTAAAGCAAGAAATATTATTAGAAATTAAAAGAAACATTGCAACACGTTAAGGCTGTCAATATGAGATGAAGATAAAATAATTATAAACATACAGTATTCACCTAACAACAGAACCCTCAAACACATGAAATAGAAACTGACAGATTTGGAAGGATAAATAAACAATTCAATGCATGTATTGGAGATTTAAAAGCTCTTCCTTAAGCAGTGAGAGAATAGCAGGTCACAAAATCCAGAGGCTTATGGAAGACTGTAAAAGCACTAGGAACCAGCCTGACATACCTGACATACATAGAAATTATTCTTCTAGGTCATAAATAGGGATCAAACATTTAAAGGATGGGAACTTTCAAAGTATATTCTCTGAAGACAAAGGAATAAATTAGAAGCAACAATAGAAAGAAATGTGGGAAATTTCCAAACATGTGGAAAAGTGATAAACTTCTGAAAAATTTACAGTTCAAAAATGAAATCTGTGAAAATACCTTGTACTGGATGATACTAAACTGAGAATATATCAGACTTTTAGGGTGGAACTAAATGGGTGTTATACGCAAACAATGAGTCATGGAACTCTACATCAAAAACTAATGATGTAATGTATGGTGATGAACATAACATAATAAAATAAAAATAAATAAATAAATAAATAAAAATAAAGTAGTGTTTAGAGACAGTTCATAGTTTTGTCACTTACACTCAAAAGGAAGAATGTTATAAAATGCATGATCTGAGTATCTTCCCTCTCAAGAAGCTGTACAGAGAAGAGCCAATTAAAGTTAGAGAAGAAAGAAATGATAAACATATACTTAGCTGAAAGTTGATTGTGAAGTATGTACAGTAGAATAACTCATGGTAGCTCCAAATGGATCAATACCCAATATCCAAGAGCATTAGCAATAACATGGATGAATACACTGCAGTAGAATCAGACAACAGAACAGCAAGGAGTAGGGACAATTTACAAATTCAACTATATGGATGAAACACACGTTCAGTTTCCCCTGAAAACGCCAAAAATAAAATATGCATACTGTATGATTCTATTTATGTAATTGTTTATAAATGGAGGTGAGAACATGAAAGGGGCATTTTGCAGAGCTGGTAATATTCATTTTCTCATTCATATGATGGTGACACTTGAAAATTCAGCCAGCTGTTGGCATGTATTGCATGTGCAACCATCTGTATGGACATTATACCCCAATAAAATTACTATAATAGAATATTATGAAAATATGCAAATATCTTTAAAACTAGACATAAAATTGAAAAAAACCCTACCAAATACAACTTGTGAAAACCAAAGCAAAAAGAAATAAAAATATCAGAAGTGTCTTAACTTCTACTATAACTTAATCTGTAATTCAGATAGCTTTTCATACTCAGTTACAGAATATTTAGATCCTTATGAGTAAAGAAAAATGAAATACCAGGTAAAAACCAAAAAGAAACCCTTTCTACCTTATAAGGTAGAAAAAAGCGTCTAACAAAATATGTTTTGTGTACATTTTCTTGGAATAATAAAAAAAGGAAATTACATGTCAGTGGCAATCATAAACTGATTCTCACAATATATAAAAATAATGGACTATGACATAAGTGGATTTACTGAAGCAATACCACGTTGGATTTACATGTGAAATTACATAAATTTAATCTGTCACATTAGCAGAGTAAAGGTCAAATGATGTGATTTCTCTGATGCAGAAGGCAACTGATAAAACTAATTTTCATTCTTAATTTAAAAAAAATTAAACTGATAGAAATAAAAAGTAAACATCCATGCAAAGATCTAGAATAGATATGATAACTCTGAAAAAGAACTAATACAAATGCACTGTTTGCAAAAGGATTTTTAAAGTATAGATTGACATAAAAATACATACAAGATTAAAGAAACTGAGGAGAAAGAGCAAAGTTAATACCTACACATATATGGAATGCAGATTTCAACAAAGATGCAAAGTCATTCTGTGGAGAAAGTATAGTCTTACAACAAATGTTGTGGAAACAATTCAGTATCAAATGAAATTAATAATATATACCTTATACTATGTACAAAAATGCTAAACATTGACCAACCATAAGTATAAATAATAAACTTTCAAGAAGATGTATTAGAAAAAACACCTGACCTAAAGTCGTGCAGTGATTTCTTAGAAAGAACAACAAAACATGACCCATAAAAGAACAAATTGATGAAGTGTAGTTCATTAAGATAATGTCTGCTCTTTGAAGAGAAGAAAAAGACAAGTCATAGACTTGAGAGGAAATATTTACAAATCATACATCTAATAAAATAGTTGTTGCCAGGATACATAAAGAATTCTCAAAATACAATAGCAAAAAGTAAAAATATTACCAAAATATTTCAAGATAATTTCACCAAAAAGCATATATTGATGGCAAATACAAGTACAGGGAAAGATGCTTAACACTATTAGTCTTAGGAACATTCATATTAAAACCACTACATATCAGAATTCCTGATCCAGCAAGATAGAGAGGATATACTGTTCCCTATTCCTTCCACCAAATACAGCTAAAATACCTGGACATTATATACAAAACAACATAAGATTCAAACAGGTGATGAGAAAACTGACAGAATTGGGCACCCCAGCTCCAAGGAATGACATGGCGGTGAATGCCCTGGAATTTATCTTTTATCACATAGCTCAGACTGGTGAGCAAACCACAGACACCAATGAGTACAGACAAAAGTCCCCCCAATTTTTTTTCTCTCCAGTCAAAATAATGGAAAAAATGCATGCTAGAAAGACCAAAAAAATGTAGAAGCTAAGTGTATTATTTCAAAAATCATTGACTACCTAGCAAAAATATCACTCAGGAAAGCAGGGGAAATCAAGACAGTCTGTGATAAAGGAAAACTAAGAAAATGTGTCACCACCAGATGCACTCTGAAAAAACTGCTAAAGGGAAATATCTAAACAGAAATTAAATGATAACAGAAGGAATCTTGGATCATCAGGAGGAAGGAGACAACCAAAGAAAGGATAAAACTATCATTAGGTCTAATGAATTTGCTTCACCTCTTGTATTGTCTAAATTGTTTGATATTTGAAGCAAAATCATCAGTTGAAACAAAATTATAACATCCATGTGATTCTCAATATAAGTAGAAAACATTTAAGACAATTCTAGTAGAAATGAGACACAGTAAAGGGACATCAAGGAAGGTAAGGCTCTACATTTTAGTCAAAGTGCTGTGGGTTGTGACAGACTGTGTAGACTGATATATGTGTATATAATTATTTATACAGAGATATCTCATATCTATATTATTTACATAAAGCAGATTAGAACACATACGGCCATATATCTAACTTTAAATGTATAAAGTTATGTATGAAGAAAAGATCTACTTTGTTGTAAATTATGCTCCATCAATTAGGTCATGATGTAGAAAAGTGTAACCTTCATTTTTATCTCCCAGGCTTAAAAACACAGCGTCACAAAAAATAAATTCCATGTGGATCATAAACCCTAACTAAAGGTTAAAAAATAAATAAACAACAAAAAAAAGATAAATCCAGGAAAGTAATATAGGAAATTATATTCATGAATTTTGAGTAACTTCTGAAATAGGTCCAAAATAATCACTAACACCCAAAATGATAAATTGGACCATGATAATATTAAAATTTGGATCATTAAAAGACTCCAATAGGGGAGTAAAAATGCAAGATACAGCTTTCCATCTCATAAACCCAAAAAAGTGCTTGTATTTAAAACACGACGAGGACTTTTAAGAAGACAAAAGAAAACACCATTAGGAGAAATGAGCAAAAGACACACTTGAACTCTTTTTATTCTCGCCAAAGAGAATATCCTAATGACTCACAGTCCAAAAAAATGATACTGTTATATAATCACCAGAACTTAATTGTATTCAATTTTATGAGACTACAGAGTTTTGGATCAAGGGACTATTTGTACAATGTGTATTTACACAATACTCTAGATAAATGTAGGGATAATTTAATATATTGAAAGACACACATATCTATGACCATGCAGTTTCATACTAATGCTTAGAAGAAAATGTATTATAATTATATGTAAATACAATTATAATGTTATATTTATACATTATTTTATTATGAAAAATGCAATATTTACATTCTAGAAATATACCATTTACAATGTAGTTATGTATAATAAATTATTATAAATACAATATGTGGAAAAAGACATAGAAAAGGCCTTTCATTACATAATTATTCATAATATCCACACACCAAAATGGAACTAAATTTCTGAGAACAGATTTTAAATGTCATATTCATATAAGACAGCAGCAGTGAAAATTCACAAAATATAGACAAATGTGATAATACAGTTGGATTACAAATATGAGAGCCAAAGGAGACACACATAAAAATGCATACTGCACGATTCCATCAATATAAAGCCCAAAAATAATCGAAGATATTTCACATTATTAAAATTGGCAGGGCTAGAAGAGACTCTAAACTTATCGTTCATGATCTGATTTGTAATTGTGTGCTTCTATTTTATGATGATTGTGCACATTCATATATTTAGTTTTCTTGATGTGTTAAAAAAAAGTAAGGTTATTTCAGGTAAAAGAGCATTTATTGAAGTATGGTTTTCTTTGAAAAGCAAGAACTGGAAATTATAAAATATACATTAAAAGTATAAAAATATAGGGCGCCTGGGTGGCTCAGTTGGTTAAGCGACTGCTTTCGGCTCAGGTCATGATCCTGGAGTCCCTGGATCGAGTCCCGCATCGGGCTCCCTGCTCGGCAGGGAGCCTGCTTCTCCCTCTGACCCTCCCCCCTCTCATGTGCTCTATCTCTCTCATTCTCTCTGTCTCAAATAAATAAATAAAATCTTTAAAAAAAAAGTATAAAAATATAAATATCATAGAGTCAAACAATAGAATAGTAACAGACTTTAAAATAAACAAGAAATATGTACAAATATATGGATGAACTCTACAAGTATAATATTAAATGATAAGCTTTTAATAAAATCTGGAAACATTTGAAATCTCACCGTTTCCTCTTCATCATCCCGGTGGAACAGTTTAGAGCTGTGAGAAGCACAGGACGACCAGCTCTCATTCCATGATTTTCTTTCAGTGCTAATGTAATAGCAATTGTTGGAATATGTAATCCACTCTTTTGGACAATGACATGCTGGAGAAAGATTATGAGATATTATCCAAAAGGCTTTGAATATTAAAACTTGCAAATTTACAACTTGCATATGTATACACAAATGTGTATACAACACATCAATTTACCCTCACAAGCTGGGAAAAATAAAACAAAACACACGCACACTCCTAGAAGAGTCAGCCTTTCCCCCCCTAATTTATGTGCCCATATGAAGCAAACATACAAAAATGTCCATCTCTACATGTGCTCTGAGTCATTGAACAAGACCACTTTTTTGGAATTGCATAAGGATTTATCACTTATTGTGTTATAGCATGAGGAAATTTGAGGCCATTGGTAACAATGACTAGGTGACTTTTTTATTTTATTTTAAGATTTATTTATTTATATGAGAGATAGCATGAACAGGAGGGGCAGAGGGAAAGGGAGAGAGAATCTCAAGCATACTCCATGCTGAGCATGGAGTTGACATGGGGCTCAATCCCAGGACCCTGAGATCACAACCTGAGCCAAAACCAAGAGTTAGACACTTAACTGACTGAGCCATATAGGCACCCCGGGTATGGTGATTTTAAATGAATATTTCCTCATACTGTTGCATAAAAAGTAATACTCTCCTATATTCATTATTTCTGAAAATTTATTATGCAATTTCTAATTCATTTTCCCCAAAAGCATCTATTATCATCCTTGTCTAGCTTAAGATAGAGATAAAATATAAATTATCCTAATATCATTTTGAAAATGATGTTCTACCTTTCTGGGTCTTTGTTTCCGAGGACGCTTTGTTCTGCACTGGTCCTTCAGGAACTAAAAAAATTAAGGCAATTCTCATAAAACTTAATAAAACTTAATATTACACTAAATAAATCACTATGATTTGAGTTTCTTAGTTTGAAGTTTGGTGTATGGTTAAGAATGAGAAAACTCTGTAATAAAATAGATTTTACCCATAAAAATTGACTAAATAATGAACATGTGGGCAAAGATAATTCAAAAGTTTAAAGAACCGATCTCACAGTCTTTTACAATATTTGGTTTAACCCATCTCAATAATTAATTTGCATATCTCAATTACGTCTCTCCTATAGCTTGCATTTGAGTTATGAAATCCGAATATATGTGTAATACTCTCTATAATTATTCTGTTATGCCTACTTTTGACAAATTCAGAATAACCATTCCACACTTAGAGCAACATGCATTAAAATGAGATAATACAACTCCATTATACTGTGCAACATTTCAAGGCACTGATGATCATTAAAGTGAAACGTTCCCTTGTAGTCATTCAAACACTTACTTACAGAGAATAACAGCTATTGTGACCACAGTGGACATCAAGACAAGGCAGATGATTCCCAGGATCCCAGCAATGAGCTTCCCTGGACATGAAGGTACATAGTAGGAAGAGAAATGAAAATTCTGAGAAAGGATGGATGGAAATAATCATTTAGGAAATTTACATACAAAAGACCCAACAACGCACAAGGAATCGCATACAAAAATTTGGACCCCAAACCTGTAACTACCATTGTAATCTTCTCTCAGAATATACCATTACATTTGCAGTAAATATATTACCCCCATGAGATTGGGTAAAGACCACGGATTATAAGACTTAAATAAGGTTTGTCCTCAGATTTCAATTACAATACCATGTTCCAGCTCCAAGCTCTGATCCTCACAAATGAAAAATATGGGAGATCATTCCCTACTCATTCCCTACACCCCTGCACCCCAACTGCACATCCTAGAACAGTTAGACTATGTGTGTATTGTTTTACCTTTCCACGGGTAATTTTTGCCATTGCCTTGAAGATCCTGAGAAGCATTTTGAAGATTTAATTCTGCGTAGGTTATTTCCTGCTCAGTTACTGAAATGGAACTTTTAGTGCCCTTAGCTTTCATTTGATGTCTTTTTGAGCCCTTAACCTGATTGAGTTCTGCATAGGTAACTTCTTGGTTATTCATCTCTGCAGCTGAGTAGTGTCAGGCACAGTGCTGAATGGGACCGCACTGAAGGACTTGATGAATAGTGTATGTAATGACAAGATTGCTAGGACAGTCACACTGGGTGGAGTGTGTGGTGAGTGATAGTACTCATTTGCAGTTGGACAATGTAAAATCTGGTACTAGTTACCTTAGAGCTTTAAAGAAGGGTTTCATGATAGAATAAGTGGTTTTTACAATGATATTCTATATTTGACACAATAGTATTGATTGGAAAAATGTAAAGCAATAAATTAGTGAAGAAGAAAAGAATTCATGAATAATATTGTCCTTATTAATGTAAGGTCAGATTCCACAGAAACATGTCAACATTATTAGAATAACTGGGTTAATATTAAAATGCTATGTTAGAAAATGCTGCACCAATTTTTTTGACAAGTTTTAAATGCATTATTGGTTTAAAAAATTGAGTCCCCTAGATTAGGGAATACTAGTTTTTGAACACCTAGGAAATTCCTGTAGTAAGTGACTTTTTTGGGGGATTTAGATTTTTTACTAAAAGGTCATGTAGTGCAATCAAGTGGTCTTTATTTTGAATAATTGTGGAGCTCTGAGAAATCATTAAATTTTAAAAAAAATATTTTATATGTTGAAAAATGTTACATGACACAGTAAACTTATCCAAAACCTGAGCAGTAATGAAAACAAAAAAACAAAAATTATTTTTTAAAAGTACTTATTTAACAACAGAAATTGACAACTGATTTAATGGTAAAGATATGAAACCATAAAATGATAGATAAAAGTGTAGATCATTTATGAAAGAACACTGTTGGTACGAACTTCCAGAAAGACCTGTGAATGTCATAGGCAGTAAGGAAGCTTTAGTTGTTTGAAGAATTCTAATAAATGAAATAAATATTCAGTCAGTGAAATCTGGAATTACTCCTGGCTCTCAAACTTACAAAGTATGACCTTTAAGAAGTTACTTCCTGTCTAGCCACCTAGTTTATACTAACCTAAAATGGCAATTAAATATACATAATATAATGCACATAAAGCACTTAATATCCCGTCCAGCTTTTCTAAGATCTCAATAGTATATTAGTTATTTTAAGTATTTTTAACACAATAGTCACAGTATCATTACTGATTCATATCCTTTAGAGCATGTAACCTAATCCATTAGATAGGAATGTCTTTCAGTATTAAATATCTTTTTTTGCCAAGTTTTGTTCAATTTTTTAAAAAGTTTTTAAATTGTTTCATACTTAAGTTTAAATTAGCATTTTCCAGAGGTACCTCATTTTGCTTTTCATGAAAAATCAAACTTTCATTTATCAAAGCAACTATATGAGGAATTACATTTGGCTTTTATGATTTGATGGATTCATCTTAAGAAATTATTTTTTTCAAATATTTATATAATTCTAGTTAGTTGACATATAGTATGATATTGGTTACAGGAGTAGAATTTAGTGATTCATCATTTACATATAACCCCCAATGCTCATCACTACAAGTGCCCTACTTAATACCCATCATGCATTTAGTTCATCCCCAGTCCCTCTCCCCTCCAGCAACCTTCAGTTTCTTCTCTATAGTTAAGAATATCTTATGGTTTCCTTCCCTCTCTTTTCTTCCCTTCACCTATGTTCATCTGTTTTAAGAATTTATTTTTAAAGACTGGGCTAATATCAAATAATATATGTAATTATATCTATATTGATGACAACCCCCAAATTAGCTGTTCCTTATCATGATGCTTATGGGATTTCACTTGAATATTGATTTGAAAACACAATTATGTGCGTATATATGCACTTAATTACTTCTCCACAGGCAAGAATTTGAATATTTTAAGAAATTCTCCAGTGTATTTCATATTTACTCTTGTCTGTTACCCTGGACTGTTGGAATAAAGATACCAATGTTCTCTGTGATTTCATTGTATATTTGTTGTGCTTCAGGGGCATCCCATCCAGCATTTGTATCTCCCACTAAATGAGGTGACTAGTAGAGAGAGAGCAGAGTAGTGACACATACCTTCTGTTGGCCAGAGAGTCGGGCATCTTTCAGTGGGAGACCAGGTTACTCTTGTAAACAAACAATATCTGTGGTCTTCACAGACTGCTGACCCTGTGAGAGCTCAGAGTGAGGCAATAGTGGAAAAAGTAGATTTCTCATCAATGTGTCACTTAAAATTTGAACAGGAAATTCTTACACTTGGCCTATTTTGAAGACCGTTATCTCATCACACACCTCTAGAATATACACAGTTTCAGTTCGTAGTGTGTCATTTCTTTTGTCCATTGACAAGTACCTCTGAGAAATTTTTATGTTCCAGAAGATACTGGAGTCAGAGACTTGACCACCCAGCTGTTAACTTGCTTCCCTCTGATTCACAAGCACTGGGAACTTAGGCCTTGTGAAAATATCTTAGATGTTTAAGTTTTGCTTTTAGACAAGTTTGCTAAATCTTCTGTTACATATTTCTTTTTCTTATGCCTTTGCTATGTCATTTCTGTTGTACTGAAAATATTCTAATCATCATCCCCTTAACAGGTACTTAATAATATTTGACACTAATTTTGAAGACTCACTACATTTTCAACTTTATTGTAACTGTCACAAAAACATCAATTTCCAAACTTATCTTCTCAATGTTTTGCCTTAGTTTTAATATACCTGCAATCCATCTTATTATTTGTAAGTAAGTTATCTAGGTTCCTGCTGAAAAAAACTAAATGCCTGTGGGAAGGACACAATATTGAACAATACTGAAAAATAGCACCATGCCAAAGATTTGAATATTAAATAATTGCTCATATTACTCATTGAGTCATCCTCCAATGATAACAAGTTGATTCTATTTTAATAGGAATACTTGTTATGAATGAGAAAAGCCTAAGGTTAACTATGTGGGGGGGGGAATGAATGTAATTTTTGAAAATTTCACCTAACTGAAAAAATTGAGAGAGGACAAAGTACTTTTAAAACACAATTAGAGGAGGGCGCCTGGGTGGCTCAGTTGGTTAAGCGACTGCCTTCGGCTCAGGTCATGATCCCAGGGTCCTGGAATCGAGTCCCGCATCGGGCTCCCGGCTCAGCAGGAAGCCTGCTTCTCCCTCTCCCACTCCCCCTGCTTGTGTTCCTGCTCTCACTGTCTCTGT